AAAGTAATTGAGCAGCTGTTGTTTTCTGTCAGATTGTGCAAACTGATGGTTTAAAGTTACTTTCTAGGCATAATAGTTAATCTAACTGAATTATTTTCCAGTGAGATCTGCACATTGTGGTTTTTTTCTGAGAACATGTTTTTTGGTTCCTGCATGTGGGATTAATGCCATACATTCACAGTCCTGTTGTCCAGTTTGCTTCATGCTTGACTCAGTGACTAACTTGTCAGAAGAGCCAACATTAGACTTCTTGATAATTTTTCTTTCACCTGCCCAAGGTGTTTCATAAGTTCTCTTTTCGTAGGAAAATATTACTGATCAAACCAGCTTACTGAGTTGTGCAGCTTTGGGCCAAGTTTGTGTTGTGTGAACTTCAATACACTTATTGTCCAGTAGGTCAATATAGGAAAAAGTAAGGTAGAAATGATGTAGGGTTTTTTTCATGCTGTGTATGTGCCAGTTTCTAACACTGCAGAAGAAAAGAACACTGAAGAAGCTTAAATTATTGTACTGATTTGTATTATTTCAGGGCTTCAGGTGCAATTCTGTATTTATTTCTCTTTACTGATTTGCAGTTAATGAAAGAGTTTCCACTTCTCAGCATGTTGAATATTCATGAAAACCTTCTGGAGGCACTGCTGGAGTTGCAGGCTTATGCAGACGTCCAGGCAGTTTTAGCAAAGTATGATGGTGAGTGATGCCTATTGAGAAATTGGGTGTTTTGGGGCAAGAGTACAGGTGAGCTGGGCAAGGTGTGCCTGTTGGAAAGCAAGTATCTACCTGTGATCTCAGCTACCTGACTGGTTTCCCTTCATGGGTAACAAATACCTGCTTCCAGAGTGCAAATCAGGTTTTTTCTTTTGTATGATTGGGTCAGAGTTAGGCAAATTACTTTCTATGTTTTTAAGTTTGTTCTAAAATACAAAGAAATCTTGGGTCTCACTTTGCTTCAGTTAATTTTTTTAATCTCTTCTACATCCCTGGTTATATTGAAATTGATCAGCTCTTTTCAGGCACATAGCCCCCTAAGCAGTGAGTGTCAATAGGCTGGAGGAGGTGATTTTCCCTTGTTGTCATCTTCCAGGCTTGGCGTCATGGTTCTCTTCATATGGAGCTTGCTTGCCAGTGATTAGCAATGCCCAGGCACACTGCTTGCTGCTGATTAGTGCTGTGCAAGCTTTGGGCCATTAAATGGCTGTCGTTTGCTTTCACTTTCCACCTCAACTAACACATTTCAGGTCTTGTGCAAGTCTAGGTAAACTTTAGTAACATACTTTGTTTCTTACTGTGTTCAGTTTTGCCACCCAGGTATCGCCCAGGCCATGAGAGCACAAAGTGCTGCTGTGAAAGCTGTCCCTTAACTCACCTTCAGAATGGAGGGACATAAAGCACTGTTTTGTGGTGATTGTTCCCTGCCCTTCAGAAGTCAGTGTGTTCTCTCTTGTGTCTCTGTTCTTATTGCTTCAGGGAACCAAAGTATGCTATCCTTGCCCAAATCCTGTGCCTCTTGTGCCTGGGCACCAGAGCAGTCTGCTTCTGCTACTTGAATGTCCATGTTCTTTGTGGTTTCTTATTAATGTAACAAAACCTTTTGCTCTTTTTCTGCTGCTTCTTCATACTAACATCACAAATTGTGACACTTACTTAAGAAAGGGTTGCTGTTTTTCTTGTTTTCTAAGCATCTGGAAAAATGAGCATGAGCTTCAGGCTCTGTAGCACCCCTGTGTTTTGCTTGACAAGACAGCTAGACTTCTAGTAAGTGATGCACAAGCCCAGGATGGGATTTACAAAAAAAGCAAGAGCCATCTGACTATACACAACATGGTACTTGGGAATTAGACCCCAGACTTTGTCTGCTTTTAAAGTAAACTTGTACTGGAGAGTGCTAACCTTCTAATCTGTAATTGTCAGCTCAAACTTGGCCTCAGATATTCTACAAAACCTACAACTGCAAGAAATTTTCCCCATGGAACTGGAAAAATGGAAACTGCATTTTCCTTGAAATTTATCTACCTGTCTGTAATGTTATATTTTTTTGTCAGCTTCTAGTCAGTCTCTCTTGCAGTAGTGTGTAAAACTCTTAATCTACAGCTGCAAAATCAGGTAAAAGTTAGAAGCTTATTTTAAACTTTCTTGTGTTAATACAGGAGAGGTGGTACACTGTTCTTAAGGGTGTATTTGTACTTACATTGCTCTTCAGATTCAGTTTTGATGTCTTGGTGCATTTAAAAATAAAAATTACTCTTTATCACCTAACTGTAGCTGAGCTTTTAATCTGAGACTGACTGGTGACCAGAAAGACTGTGCAAGGAATTCCAAGTTTCTAATCATAGCTGAAATGTTCCAGATGTTACAGTCATTGTCTGATATACCCAAGTAAAAATCTTTAAGCTCAACGGATGTGATTTAAAATGTTTGTCTTGCCTTAGGTTCTTAGAGCTTAATTATTTTATTTTATCATAGATATCAGCCTTCCGAAATCAGCAGCGATATGTTACACAGCAGCCTTGCTGAAAGCCAGAGCTGTTTCAGAAAGGTGAGGAAGCATATTTCTGAAAACAGTGGTTTGTTGTTGATCTTGGGTTATGCTGTAAAATAGAATTAAAAAGGTCTAAATCCAGTGTGTAGTAGTTATATTTCTAAGAGCAATTTAAGTGTATTTTTATATACATACATGTGTGTAGTAGAATGTAATTTAAAGTTTCTTTTAAGCATCCATAAAGTTAATACAGTGAAGAAGTTTTGCAGTAGCCCAGGTGCACATGTGCTGTGGTATAAATTTTGTTCTCAGTGTTCTGCTTGTGATGCTCAGGAGCCCTTTGCTGTGTGTGTTGGGAGCAGGGGTGTGTGTTGGGAGCAGGGGTGTGTGTTGGGAGCAGGGGTGTGTGTTGGGAGCAGGGGTGTGTGTTGGCCTTTGGCTGGCCTCGGGGTCTGTTGGTGCAGCTGATTCTGGCTCTGCCTCTGGGCAGGTGAGGCTGCAGCACCCGTGTGGGACTGGCAGCTCTGCTGTCCCACAGCACTGACAGCACATTTCCAAAAGTTAAACACAGCTTTGTCGTACGGGCATGGATGACAGTCAAGATACCTAAATTAACATGAACATTTATCTCCTTGAAGGATTTGTTTGTCTTTATTGCTAAATCTGCCAAGTTTTCATGAACTCCAAGCTTACAATGCAAACAAACACCTGGCTAGTATTTAATATTCATTACTTTTGTTCAGCATGAGTTTTTCCCTTCAGGTTCTCCCCAGAAACTGCCTCCAAAAGAGGGCTTAGTACAGCAGAAATAAATGCTGTGGAAGCAATTCACAGAGCTGTGGAATTTAACCCTCATGTTCCAAAGGTAAGAGCATTTTATTTCCCATTGGACCACTTTTTATTTTCCTCTGAAAAAGTCATGTTAGCAAATTGTTATTGAAGCCTTTTTAGCCCCATCTTTTCTTGAAGTTGGTTATAACTCCAGCCGTTGAGTTGTTAAACACATTAGTATTTGTATCAGAAATGGTCAGTGGGCCAGAATTAGTTTGCAATAGGTGCTGATCAAAGAGGGCTTTGTGAAAAAGGAAAATATCACAGACCCTCAATTTTCTAACTTACTGGAAAATCCAGTAATGTGTTACTGAAGGCCCTTTATTCGATAAGGCTAAACAATAATAAATATAAATTCAGATGCTTAAAATCCCTGAAGCCAAATTAAGTTCTTCAGACCATAACCACTCAGTGTTTCAAAATATTTTTTTCTGCTCTGCTTCCAAGCATGGCTCCAGAACTGGGGTTATTGAAAGATATACAATCAATTATTTTCTCTATCCATGTGTAAACAAGATGAAGAGTTGGGATTGTTACAGGCTGTAATTTAATGTCTGGCATTACTTGAATTGACCAAGATACAGATTCCACTGAGAAGTGGGTGAACATTAAACCTTGCGTTGCTTTTACTGTACTAGTCTTGGTGATGCATTCAGTTTGAAACCTTGAATGCAGAAGCTTGACTTAGTCCTGGACCTAATCCCCTGCAAATGATGATGGAGTCCCAGTGGCCATGCTGTATAGGCTTGAATTATCCAGCAGCTCTGCTCTGTCTGCCTGTCCAATCCAATAGAATGTGCACTGAGAAAGCTAATTGCTGGGAGAAATTGCTGCTTGTTTGCATGACTGATCAAGAGCGTAGCAAGTTCATTTCAGACAGTCTCAGACAGATTTTTCTTTAGCCTCTGCCTTTAGGGGAGGAAGATTATAACGCATTATCATTATCTAAAAGTTCTTTTATTTTATATATCCTCCAGTTGTTTCAGGAGCCTCATGTATCCTTTTAAAGAAGTTTGATATTTCAAACGGGCTGTTTGCAAAATATGTTCTGTAGTTCTACAGACAATCACAGAAACTGATTCCAGATTGCAGTAGTATGATCTTATTTTCTAATTGTATGCCTATTCCATCTTCTTCATGATTTTTTAAATTATAGTATTGCCCTGACACACCAGTCTGTCAGGCAGCAGGGCAGAATTCGGTTGGTGCTGCCTAACTAGAGCTCTGAAATGCTCCTGGTTGAAGCAAACAAGTGCACGGGGCACAGATGAGTGAAGCGACTTGCCCAGTGGGTTAAAGTGGAGTAGTGGGCAAGAAAATGTGGGTTTTGGATTTGCAGTCTGTTCTGTCCCTGGACTAAAAATAAAGGAGTGTGTAAAGCAGAAATCCTTTTGTTCTTGCATCTGATGAACGTGGTTGTCTTTGCACATAACATCATTTTGCATAAGGAAAATAAAGTAATGTTTGTTTCTCTTTGTTCTGAGTTATGCTTTTACAAGGCTGAGTTTTGTTTGGAAAGTCTTCAAATTAGAGATCTGTAACTTCATTTTGATCCTGTATGAAACAGTCTTTTCCAATCATCTTCTGAATAGCTTACAGATTTTTATTGTGTGTGAAGACTTTCTTAAATCTGCCAACCCCAATTTTCTCTACTGATACCTTGCCTGTTTTTTTGGGTAAACACGAATGTGAAAACCTGACAGACTCTGGAATCTTTCTGTTTGTGTGGTGACAGGGGCACAGGGACAGGCAGAGCCTGGTGTCCAGTGCTGTGACAGTATGGCAGGGGGGGTTCACCCCCCACCCCGGGTTCCCTCGCTCCCCACGCTGTGGAAGAGTGGGCGCTGTGGAGAGCATGAGGAGTCAGGTCAAAGGTCAGATATTTGAGACCATTTTCCCACAGCAGCCCTGTGTGAGTGATCCTTTACTGTGTAAAAAAAAAAAAAAAATTAAAAAAAAAAAATTGAAGAGGATTAGAGGGGATTAGCAAGAATATTACCCTTGGAGGGTAGGCCCAAGGCACTAAGAGAAGAACCTAGCCAGGCAGTAAATGTGCTTTATGTGGCTGGGGCACAACCCCTCCTACATTCCTTCAAGAATCTGAATGGGAAAAGTTAAGTCCTCAAACTGGATTAGTAAATAATCTCATAGTTTGTGGCATCTGCTGAAATAAATCGGTGAGTTAGCTGCATTCTTACACTTTGGGAGACAGTCAAAGGAATGACCAGCTACATTGATCAAAGATGTGGATTAACTTTGGCTGTTATTGAATGAGACACTATATGCTAGGAGAGGACAACTGGCAGGTAAATACTAGAGCTGAAACTGTCATTTAATTCCTGTAAAAATTACTCATCTGTTTTTAAAAGCTAAGTTCAAATGAATACCTGTCTTTTCTTAATGTACCATGAGAAAACAAAATTGCATGTCTTGTGTTTCGAGGGAAATGGAAAATGATTAATCCTTGTGTTCATTGACCCTTCTGTGCATTGGATGTTGTACTGATGAAGGGAGAAGGCTGAAAGTGAAAAAATCTGAAATGGGAGATCCTTTGTGGTAGGCAAGGAAACCACGTTACAACAAGATGTCCCTCAGTTTGGTTCATTACTCTTCTTTTGGTTAGTGTAGTGACACTTCCTGGTTTGCTGCTCATACTTGGGAGCTGACAAGTACTTGACCCTCCTGCATTGAAACTTGCAGTGATTGCACGATGGGAAAAAATTGCTCTTGGTTTGTTGGGGTTATTTTGTATTAGCCTAAACTTGTAGCTCAGTGGTAGTACCAGTGACATTATACTTTAGGTATATTCCACAATAACATACTTTTATTTTGCCTTACTGAAGATGCATTTTTGTCCCCTGATATTTTGTCTGTGAAACCCCCAAATTAAGAGTGTTGTGCAGGGCTGTGTGTTCAGCTGCTTTCCACTTCCCAGGTGAGGGCAGGCTGTCTGCACTCTGGCAGGGCTGGGCTCTTTCCTGGACAGGTAGAAGTTGGCCCCTGTGTGATATGCTCAGTTGTGCCTCAAGTGATGATTTATGTCTAACAGTTAAAGATTTTTGAATATTCCATGTAACCGAGTGTGCTTCAACTTTTACTTTCAGTATTTGCTAGAAATGAAGAGCTTAGTGCTTCCTCCAGAGCACATTCTGAAGCGAGGGGACAGTGAGGCAGTAGCATACGCTTTTTTTCACCTTCAGCACTGGAAGAGGATAGAAGGGGCTCTCAACCTGCTACACTGTACATGGGAGGGCAGTAAGTGTCTCTTGTTTCACCTTTCTCTGTACAGCAGAATAATCTCTGCCTTTATATTCACCTCCAACACGATTGGTTCTCTTTGTGAGAAACCAATGCTTGGTTTAGATACAGATCTAATGTCACTCACTCTTTTTCAGCATTTAGGATGATCCCATACCCATTAGAGAAAGGTCATCTTTTCTACCCCTATCCGAGCTGCACAGAAACAGCAGACAGAGAACTGTTGCCAAGTAAGTGGTTTCTAAGCAGTAATGATAATAAAACATAAGCTAAGGACACGTTCAGTCTGTGGTGTTCTGTATTTACCTTACTGTGACTTTTTTCATTTGAGCTTCCTGTGAAGGAGTTTCAGCTATTTGTTGATGTCCCTCCCAAAGGATCCTGAAGCACTTGACATGTGTGTGGTAAATGTCAGCTTGAGTCTGTAATAACATCGGTCCTTCAGAGATGAGGTCTGTGTGTGGTACATTCAGGCAAAGATTGGTCAACTTTGAGAGCAACAAAATGGACCAGTTCTTTAAATTTAAGCAAATAGCATTAATTTAGGTTAGAATTGGGCTGTTAATTGTACGAGTTAATAGAATTCCTTTGGGGGAGAACTTCTGTGTCATGAAGAAACCCATGTCCCCTGGGACTGGAAAGGGCTACTGCAAAAGCACCAGCAGACCCACTGAGACCACAGCTGTGGAAAGGAAAACTACACATAAGTGTTTCTGTTTAAAAGCCTGAAGTTATATTTAAAACGTGTAATTTAAATTTGCCCCCAGACTGCTTTAAATTACTCAATTCTCACTTATGCAGGATATTGCACAAGGAATTCCTTGGTTAGCGACTAACCCTAAATTGTAGACTTCCCAGCATAATTAAACACCAACACATGCAGCTATTTCAACACGATCACTCACGCATTCCTGTTATGTTTTAAATATAAAACTACCCATAAATAAAATCATCTTAACACTTTTATTGCAGTACTTCCTCAAGAAATCTTGACACTTTATTTCAAATAGATACATTTTTAAAAATTACGTTGACCATCAATGATCTGGAAATCCTGTATTGGTCTGACTATTAACAATTCTCAAATGGCTGTTACTGTATAGAGTTGTCTTTAGTTGTCCTTACCTATTTTAGATTTTAATTTCCCAGTGTAGGAAGAACTAGTGTAAAAAGAACCCTTCCTATTTTTTTTTTTTTTTTAACTTTTCTAACTTATATTGAGATGTTTCCTAAATTATATTGCTCCATGGTTTAAAGATCAGGTGGGTTTCTACAGTAGTGTGAGTGTGACTGTTCCAGAGCAGAGCAGCAGTTCCTGTGGCTGCTCAGTAGAGAGGAGTGTTACTGCTGTACAATGTCTGGCTGTGTGGTAGGAAGGTGAACTGATGATCTCTGGGATGACATTAGACATCTCTGTGTTAGACACAGAACTCCAAATGTTCTACTTAGCTGTGTTCCAGAACCATGTACTTAAAAGAAGAACACAGCCCAAGCACTTTGCCATTGATGTGTTGCAAGAACCCAAGGCTCTTCTGCTGACTTGCTCTTGTAGCAGCAGCTTTCAGGTGCCTTCAGCAGCAGTAACTGGGAGGGTAAAGTGTGTTTTTCCTCCTCAGACTTCAGTTTAAAAATGAGTACAAATGTATTTTCTTGTTTTGCAAGAATGCTTACTTACATTTTGAGGCTTTTGTTAGATTGTAAAGAGCCTTGTCAAGAAGCTTGCAGTCGTTTCATAATTACATCTATAGAAACAGCTTTTTTCTTCATTTAAGACCACTTTAAAATCACTGGATAAAAGTTGTAGCTGCATGTATTCAGAGCCAGTGACTAATTGCAAATTCACCAGACAGGTCCTCAGCTAGTAGCCAGCAGTAGTGTCTTGAGTGCTGAAAGCTCCATATGCCAGCCCTTAGCTTGTCTAATCACCTTCTTTTGATTTGGTTACCATAGATTGGAAATTGCAAGGAGCTGCTATGTACAGAATTTATAACCTAGTGCTGGGACTGTTTTCTTTGGGGTCTAGTCTGTCAGCTGCTCTGAAAAAATTTACTATGGCCTCCCAAACAGAAACCTTGGAGAAGTATTAAGGAGCTACCTTGCATGTATATGTAAAGTGATGGTTGTTTTGTACTTGCTCAGCTGCTTATAGGATGGGGAGATGTGCTCTTCTCTTTGGGTAAGAGGATTAATGCTTCAGAGAGTTGGAAACACCCAACTTACTCATATTGCTCTAGGTAACTGTGACAGATTGTGAATTCTACAGTTCTTCTTTCTGTCCAGTTAAAAGAGTAGGTACCAAAAACTAAGCTTGATGACATGCTTCAAAAATAAAGCCCATGCAAGGGAAAAAGAAGATTGGGAAGGGAAAGATGTAATGACTATTTAATAATGAAGAGCATTTCATATAGAGGAAAAATTTTTTAGGAGGAGTGCAAGTGCTGGGACTTTACGTGCTGCACAGTAGTCCTGAGTCCACACTTAGTCCTTCTGAAAGTCCAGAGCTGAGTTACAAGACTGTATAAATTACACAGGAACCTGCCCGCAATTATCAGATGTCAATATTCTTAATTTTTTTCCTTTCAGCATTTCATGAAGTCTCCGTTTACCCACAGAAGGAGCTTCCCTTCTTCATCCATTTCACAGCAGGCCTGTGCTCCTTCTCGGCCATGCTCGCCCTCCTCACACACCAGTTCCCTGAGCTGATGGTCGTTCTGGCTAAGGCTGTGAGTATTGGCTCTGTCCTGGGGCTTGCTTGGCTGACTCAGGGGATCTCTGGGAGTTTTGAGGTCTGTTACTAGATGGAGAACGTGTTCAGTGACCATGGTCCTGTCACGTGAGTCCCTGTTCAAGGGTGGAAGTTGGACTTGACAATGGCAATACATTTGTGATCTGTGTGGCTTTAAATTTATCTGAGCTGTTTGTTCTGTGGATGCCTGCTGTGCCTCTCTCTGCCCCACTCTTTTTAGGGTTTCTTTCCTTGCTTACCTGGTGATGTGGCTCAGGCTGTAAGCTTGTCACCCCTGGACTCTGGAAGCTGTGCTGGCTTGCCTCTGTGTGGGCAGCCTCCCCTTGCCACTTCTCCAGCTAAGCCATTGAGCCTGTTTGGCCTTCACTGAGCTGTGGATCTCGTGCAGTAGAGCAGAGTAACAAACAGAGAGCTCTGAACTCTCAGTGAATCACTTTTTCCTAGCTTTGCTAGTGGAAATAGAGGGTGAAAGGTGTTGTTCTTTCTTGCTGGTTTCATGCAGCAGGTAATGGAGACCTGGGAGGTAAGACTTCTTTAAGAACACATTGTTCCTAAAAGCATTGGTTTTGCTAGTGCTTGTAGTCTAAAGTGTCCAAGTCATGCAGGTCTGAGAGTGGGGCCTCATTTCCACAAGTTCTGTTGATCTTTATGTTGGAAAATGTAGCTGGACATGCCAGTGACAAATTTCAGTGCTGCTCATAATTGGCTGGGTTCACAGTAACTAGGATCTAACTATCTGCTTGATTAATTCTGTAAGGGCTGCATTAGCAAAGTTGTATGATTTCCAAAGAGATACGAGGTCAAATGTTATGCTAACAAAGAATTGCTTGGTGAAGTTCTCTCTGCTGGGTTTCTTGAACTAAAAAAAGACTTTGTACAAGTTAGTTGGCTTTGCATAATGGCATTTTGAAAGTCAAGTGACATGTCCAAATGTGGGGGGAAAAACTGCCAGGGTTTGGTCATTTGGCAGTGTGTTTATTTTGCTTATTTTCTATAGGAAAGGAGGGGTAGTGGCTGCTCAGCTGAAAAGGTGACCAAGAAGCATGCATGTGGCCACATCATTCCACCAGCCATGTCCCAGTGGTGGCAGGCACAGACAAGGGTTCTTGCCACTCGCTGTGCTGGTTTAGTACTGGAAAAACTGGAAACTGTGTATTGAGATAAATAGACAAGAAGTGAATTCTGTATTAATCTCTTGAGACTGACAGCTGAGAAGGAAATATATCTGCCATGCCAGATAGAATTGTTAACTCCCAATCATACTCTGACTAGCAGCCTTCCTTATTTTAGTTATTAGCTTCTTGTACTCTTAATCCCATTCCTAATGTTTTCATAAGCGTTCAGAAAACTTGTAAGAAACTACGATATTCAGTATCAAACTAACTTCCAGTTTTAATCATAGATTCCTTCAGTATTTTAACTATAGATAGTGCTGTGATGGCTGCTAAGACTTCATAGGCATTATCTTTTGTGTTCTGGAGGTATGTGGCAGAGTATCTAGTTGAATTTTCATACCAGAAATGGAAGTTTACCTTCTCTTCAATGATATCTGCCTTGCTAACCAAGAATTTGCTGTATCTAGTGCTATATCTGCAGGTAACTCAAATACTTTAAGCTTTCATAATGAATTTTTTTCCTGTGTATTTCATTATTTCAAGTGTTTTTTCCTGTCACTGTGTTTTAACTTATTTAATATAGTAATTAAAGATAATAAAGTTCTAGATGGTAGATAGCTGGAGTGCTTTGGCCTTACTGAAAAAGTGATACAAAATATATTTCCAACAAATCCTAAGCCACAGTTTTAGGAATGATAATTGCAAAGTATTGTATATATGGAATTTTTCACTATAAATCTCTAAGCAACTTAAATATGACTACTTAGATTACATTTCACTGGCTTCTTAATCAAACTGTTGTTTCCAGCAGTTGAATCTGCAGCGATCTGCATGCCTCTAAAGGGCTTGAAGAAGCTGAATACCTTCCTATTGACTTGAAAAGTCTGAGTTTACATATTTTCATTTGTTAGTGCTTGAGTTTGTTTCCTCCATAATAAATCACAGAGTAAACCTTGGCAAATTGCTAAAAATACTCCAAGTGGCCAAAAATCACAATGAAGCAGTTAGTAGTTCCAATGTATACAGCGTGCTGCCCCACCAGCGGAGCGCTGGCACGGGCGGCCAGCGGGGAGTGGGCACCAGGGGGTTTCGTGCTGCACAGGTGGAAGGCTCTGCAGGCATGGAGCCAGCTGGGGCTTCTTAGATCTCCTGCAGCTCAGGCTCCCCCTGCTCTTCGGTGAGGGGAGGATGTGCTGCATGGGGACCACAGCAGGGAGCTCCGTGTGACCTGCCGTGCGAGTGCTCTCCGTGGGGAAGAGCTCAGCCCTGC